AAGCACAAAGATTAACTGGTAGAAAGGAAGTAGGTGAATTTTGTGATCAATTTGCCTACCAGACTCCCTTATCTTATCCTAAACCTAGGAAAAGAAATAAGGTTGAAAAACCTTATAAAAGGAAGTATTCCAAAAGAAAGAATTATTCAAAGGAAAAGGATAATTCTCGACAGTATACTAAGCCTAAAAGGAAATATATTCCTAAAGCAAAGGGTAAAGGAAAGCCCAAAGCTGAGGCTAAATGTTTCAAATGTGGACGCATAGGCCACTATGCAAACAAGTGCAAAACTAAGGCAAAACTTAGTAGTCTTGACATAGAAGATGAACTAAGACTTCAATTAAGTAAATTGTTACTTAATACTAGTTCTTCTGAATCAGAATCATCAGTTGATTATGGGGATGTTGTTATGGAATTACAGTCTTCTTCTTCCTCTGAAGCAGAAGTTGGAAATCCAAAATGCTCCTGTAATCCCTCTCATGATGATTACTATAAGGCAATTGTTGAAATGAATGGGTTAAGCTTAAATGTTTTGACTTCGACTCAACAATCCTTATTGGATCTTATAGATCACATTCAAGATCCTCAACTCAAGATGAAAGTCTTTGAAATAGGTTCTGCTTTAGCACGAACTAATGAGGATACTGATAATCCAGATTTTCTGAGAGCAGAAAATCATTACAGCATGAAAGAAGTTCTAAGCAGATTAGAACACCAAGGACAGAATTCACGTCCTGCTAATCTCCCTGATCTCAGAATGAAAATTAATCTTTTAAAAGAAGAAATTCGTCAGTTAAAGTCTCGTCAGACTAAGATGGAACTGGAAATTACTCTTTTGAAAGCAACATCTGTAACTGAAACTTCATCATCCCAGATTGAAGTCCTTCAATCCGAAAGCAAGAATTATCTTCAACTCTTGAATCAAGTTACTTATCAAAAATGGTATATATCTATCAATTTGGTAATTAATCAAGAGTACACCATCACTAATGCTATTGCCTTAGTTGATAGTGGTGCAGATATGAACTGTATACAGGAAGGATTGGTTCCTACTCAATATTTTGAGAAAACCACTCAAGGTCTTACCAGTGCAAGTGGTGATAAGATGCAGATTAAGTATAAACTTAATCACGTTTTCATCTGTAAAGAAGGTATTTGTTTAACATCTACTTTCTTACTCATCAGAAATATGGCACAACAAGTTATTTTGGGCACCCCCTTTTTAGCTTTGATCATGCCAATTGAGAAAATTGATTCTCATGGAATATGCTCTAATTTACATGGCCAGTCAATTACTTTCCAGTTCTTGACCCCACCAGTAAATAAGCATATCAATGCCCTTAAAGATAACATTATCTTTAAGGAAAAGCAACTGAATTATTTGCAAAAGGAGGTATCCTCCTTAGCAATTAATCAAAAATTGGTACAACCCACTGAACAACAGAAAATTGTGTCAATACGACAAAACTTTCTAAAGGAAATCTGTAGTGAGATTCCTAATGCTTTTTGGGACAGAAAGAAGCATATTGTTTCTTTACCCTATGAAAAGGGATTTACCGATCTCATGATTCCTTCTAAAGCTAGTCCAAGCCACATGAAGGCTGACTACTTGGAATTATGCAAAATTGAAATTAGCTCTTTAATGGCAAGAAAGCTTGTCACTGACAGCCACTCCCATTGGAGTTGCAGAGCTTTTTATGTCAATAAAAATGCTGAAAAAGAACGAGGAATTCCTCGATTGGTTATTGATTATCCACCACTCAATCTAGCTTTGAGTTGGATCCGATACCCAATTCCCAACATCAAAGATCTTTTAGATAGGTTATAATCTGCTGTAATCTTTTCTAAATTTGATCTTAAATCTGGATATTACCAGGTACAGATTGCAGAAGAGGACAGGTACAAAACAGCTTTTTGCATACCTTTTGGACAGTATGAATGGACAGTAATGCCATTTGGATTAAAAAATGCCCCTTCAGAATTTCAATATATTTTGAATGACATATTTAATCCTTATACTGAATTTTCTATTGTTTATATTGATGATATTCTCATATTTTCAAAATCAATCAATCAGCATTATAAACACTTGAACATTTTCAAAAATGTTATTTACCGAAGTGGTTTAGTAGTTTCTGCTTCTAAACTAAAACTGTGTTTAACTAAGGTCAGATTTCTTGGTCATGAAATTTGTGATGGAAAAATTAGACCTATTGATCGCAGTATTGAGTTTGCTTCTAAATTTCCAGATGAAATAAAGGATAAAACTCAACTCCAGAGATTTCTTGGTAGTTTGAATTATATTCGAAATCACTACAGAGATCTTGCACAGGATACAGCAATTTTGTACACCAGGTTAAGGAAATCTCCTTCCCCATGGACTTTGGAACACACCAAGGCCGTCCAGAAGATTAAACTCAGAGCAAAACAAATTCCTTGCTTAGCTCTAGCCAATTCTTCATGGTTCAAAATTGTGGAAACAGAAGCATCCAATATTGGCTATGGTGGTATTCTTAAACAGAAGAATCCAAATACAGGAACCGAGGAGCTTGTTCGCTTCACTTCAGGAACTTGGAAAAATGCACAACTGAATTACTCAACCATCAAAAAAGAAATTCTTTCTTTGGTTAAATGCATTTATAAATTCTAAGATGATTTAATCAATCAGAAATTCTTGTTACGCATTGATTGTAGTGCTGCTAAACAAGAACTGAAAAAAGATGTAAAGAATTTAGTTTCCAAACAGATATTTGCTGGTTGGCAAGCTGATTTATCTGCTTTTGATTTTTCTATTGAATATATTAAAGGCAGTTCTAATTCTTTACCTGATTTTCTAACTCGTGAATTTTTGCAGGGTTCATGAATCAGCCCCCTCATGGGCAGGGCCGGGGTAATACTCCAAAGGCTCGTGGCAAAAACAAGGCTAAGGCCAAAGTGGTTATACCACTAAATGATGATCAATTTCCATATCTGGATCATGTTGCAGATCCGCTCAGCACACCTCCTAAAGGCAGCAGCAGTTCACAACAGAAACAACAGAAACCAACCATGAAAGAGGTTCTTGAGCAAGAAACTCCATGGATACCTAATCAAAGGTATATTCAGACAGTATTGGTACTGGATTCTCAAGATGAACAATGGATGCCAGACCCTTGGGAACTAAAATCCAGATATTTCCAAACTCAACAATATGCTGCACCGGATGGTCGCCATAGATATATCTATGAAGCCATTCTTACTGAAACTTCCTCTGTGGAAATCAACCACACGAAGCAATTTCCGAATTCCAAAGATAGTCCTCTTACTTATAGTAAAGCTATCTTTAAGAGGCTTATACGGCCTAGTGACTGGGGATTAAATCCTAATTTGCTAAGGAAAATATCCTATGGTCACAGTTACAATTATTGGGATTATATCTCAGCTTGGACATATTCGTTCTTTTATCAAAATCCGAAGCATAAGCATTTTTGGTTTTTCAAGATATGCCCTCAATCAGTTAAGGCTGATTTTCCAAACTGGGTTATACCCTGGTGGGCTATATTTGGCCCTGATCTGGATATTTTGCCCGAATCTATTAGGCAGTTATACTTGCCATGGCAACAATTTCATCCTCAATTAAGGGGACAGGATAATATTCCTGTAGGGAAATCCACCCTATTGTTCTTTACTGAATTTGGAATCCCTTGGATTTGGAAATGGGATTTCCAACGTGGTTATACCACTGATAAGTTACCAGTCCTTCAGAGGATCTTTTATTACCGATGGTGGTCAGGCATGACTCAAGACCCTATCCAAGCCCTCCTCCATCATATCAGAAAGAAAACAATGGAATACATGGATAAGGTTCCAAAGTTAACTATTCCAGAACCAGAAATCTTTAACCCATTTGAACTTGTTAAAGATATGATCAGAAAGCAACAACCATTAATTACCGAAGCAGATTTAATGGTTAAATGCATGGATTTTATGAGGAATAAATTTGTTACAACTTTTGATTCCTCCACATCAACAGTAAAAGATGATGCATCCATGATATCAGTTTCTAGCCAGACCAGTCAAGATGGTAATCAGTTTTCCTGTCTAGCTGGTTATGCACAAGATCCCAATGAAGATCTTATTTCTGAAGATGAACCCACAGTCGCTGATTATTGGGACTCTCTCACCAGCCACTTGAAGGAAAAGATGAATCCACCCAAAAAATAAAGATTCCTCTTATCCTGCCGACAGAAGAAGACAAAGGACTTTTCTCAAAAGTCTTTGATTCTACAGTATTTCCTTCATCAGATGTCTACTTTCCATCAGATAAGGAGACAGAACTTAGTGGTGGGCCGACCGACTGCATTATTCAAGCACACGTTCCCATGCACTATGCGGACTTCAAAATGTTAATTTCAAGTCCATTTTATGTATAAATAGAGGGCAAAATTTCCCTTCAATGTATCTTTCAATTTTCCTTTCTTCCTCTTGTAATATTTCTCTGTATTAAGTTTGGAAGTGCAATAAAGAAGAAAGTTTTCTGTAAGTGTTTCAAATATAATTAACTGTTATTACCAACTGTTTATATTATCAACTGTTTATTATATATCGATCCACGTTATAATAAAGATTAACAGTAGAAGGAAACTAAAATCTAATCCTATACGGAAGCTAATTCCTAAAAGAAAATAAAAATACAAGGAAACAAAATTAAAAATATAAAGAAATTACTTAAAACTAAAAAATCTCTAAAAATATAAAATAAAAATAAACAAATAAACCTAATTAAAAAACTACTAAAACCTGTCCTACATCAATCTCTTCCACTCCAAAAAAAAACTCGTCCTTGAGTTTAATCATACAAGAATGAATAAGATTTTTTTCTTACACGTGTCAAACTTGTTGCAAATTGGCCCGATAAAAAGTAACCGATTGTAGGTGATGCCTCAGTCTCACTTGCATATAACCAATGCTAAATCTCAGCCCCAAAATGTTACCTGCCCTATCACGTACTAGCAATACAAGGCCAAACAAATTTGTAGTTATAGAATTGCTTAAAAGATCCACCATATTATGAACTTCAAAAGTCACTTTCTCAAACAAAGGTTCATTGACCAATAACCCGTTAAGATTATTACATGAGCACTCCACCTTAGTGTTGGAGAATGAGAGCAGTTGTAAAGAAATTTGAGTCAAACATATGCTTTTGAAAAAATTCCAATACCTTGATTTCAGATTGCCAACAACATCCACAGCATCACTAACTACTACTACATGTTGTACAGCATCATCATTGACGTGACATGGATTCTGCTCTTTGTAAGGTAAAAGAAATTTGACTTTCAAAAGTTGTTTCATCTCCGACCAAGATTCTATCTGTACTTTTCTTTGTTGTGCATGAGAAATTCGCAACTGTTTCCACCAATTAAAAGTTATTCCTTCCAATTTACATGCCATGAATGCCACCTTATTCTCCTCTTTAATTTTCATGAAATCAAATAACCTCTCAAAATCTTCTAACCAATCCAGGATATTTTCAACATGAAATAAACCATCAAAACTAGGAGGAAAATTCCTAGGATAATAAGAATATATTCGTGTGTCTTTAAGACCCCCAAACATGTCTTCAGTGTAATCTTTATCATCATCATCATCACTGAATTCATCCTCGTAGGCTAGTTGCCTACGCGACGGGATGGGGTTGCGATTCCAAACAGGATGAATGCGATCTTCGTCAACGTTACGCACCCTATTGATCTCGCGATGTTGCTCCAACTCAAACCTAGCAATCATTACTTGAATATCTTGCAGCGTTCACTGAGTTTTACATTGATAGCCTTGAAATTAGGCTCTAAAAGGAGCCACTCTCTGTCAATCTTCGTCGGCAACGAGGTTGCCACGAAAACGATCACCTACCATCAGACTAGGAAAATATAAGGCTCTGATACCAACTGACATAAACGGAAGCGAGAGGAACAGGATACCTTGAATCCATGAGGTGGGTGTTTTGAATCTACAAAACAAAAAAGATAAGTCAGAGAAATCTGATATATTATTTAATAATTGAATGAATAAAAGATTAATTCTGCACTTGGCAGTACATATTTTTATAATAGAGAAAACTTAACATTAGAAGGAAACTAAAATCTAATCCTATAAGGAAACTAATTCATGAAGGAAAATAAAAATACAAGGAAACAAAATTAAAAATATAAAGAAAGTACTTAAAACTAAAAACTCTCTAAAAATATAAAATAAAAATAAACAAATAAACCTAATTAAAAAAATACTAAAATCTGTCCTACATCACTTCACTTGAATATGATCACTACTTTTTAGAAAATGAAGGGGTTTTCAGTTGTTTCAATGATAATTGAAACATCCTTCACTTGCATATGGGATCATTAGACTGCCCTCTGTTCTAATCTAAAGCTTGAATACCTCCCTCACTTGAATGCCTGATGAAAAACTTGATGGGATGTTTTCAATGATATTTGAAAGTGCTACTTTGTTTGGATTTCTTTCATTTCTTCTTGCACCTATTTATTTGTATATTCACAGGTGCGCACACATAACCTCAGTGTGTGTGTGTATTTGAATTCCTTTACTTTGTTGTAAATTGATGGTAGAAGATTCTAGATCTACTTTTATGCCCTCAATTTTAGATATCCTCTGGAAAATATTTTAATTTATTTTTATTACTAAGGTGGCTGATGGAAATTGCATTTTATTTACTATTTGTTGCAATGCTCAAAGGTGGTATAATAATTCATAAGAAACCATGTTGACCTTCTCGTTCGTGGTCTTATTGTTTCCTATTGATTGAATCAATGCTTGAAGGGGTTTCAATTACCAGGTCTGAGAAGGTTAAAGATGAACTTGTATTGGATGGGAATAATATCGAACTTGTTTCTCGTTCTTGTGCGCTGATAAACCAGGTACATCTCTCCTTGACACACATTTTCACTCCTACCCTCACTCTCTCTTATTCGTTAGCTCTTCAATTGCTCTGCCTTTCTCTGCATTAGCTCCACGTGCTGAGATTTATATCTATATTTGTTGTAACAGAAATGTCATGGGAAGAACAAAGATATCCGGAAGTTCCTTGATGGTATCTATGTGAGCGAGAAGGGAGCAGTAGCTGTGGAAGAGTGATAGTTAGCTAGTGGGTATTTGGAGTTTTATCGGTCCTCTCTATTCTGGTGACATTGGCTGATTATTATCCTCTTTTTATCACCGAAGTCTTTTTGAACGTATTTTATATATCACATTTGTTTGAATTTACAGTTTTGTGCCGTCTAGCTCCGTTTTAAATAGACGTGATTGGTTAAATACCATTTCATCGTTCCCGTTATTTATGTTTTGATTAAATGGAGCTTAAATACTTGATATGTGTTATGATCGTCTCAGTGACACAGAAAGCTTAATTAAATTTTCTGGTAGATGCTAATTGGCTAAAGTCAGCCTAATTTATTGATTGAGATTCTATGTGCATAATGCAATTGTCATTCCCCTATTAGAAGCTTCTAAATTGTACAAGTTACATGAGATGTGTTGGAAGGTTCTAGAATACATCTATTTGGGTTTGGATTTGGTCTTGTCCTCTTGGATGAACTTTGTAGTATTAGTTAGGTCTAGAACTTCGAAATCATTTGCATTGATAGCTCACCAGCCTAATAAATATCTTCTTGTAATCTTGCTAAAAAATGTTTTCGAAGGAAAAACATTCCTACCTATTGTACTTATCATGGGAAAGCAATGTGGTCAATTAAATATGTTTACTTGTCCTTTCTCATTGCCTACTTTTTTGGCTTGACTATCTTTGGGGTTTCACAACACATCCTGGTGGCAATTTGGCTGACCGCCCTTGATATTTCTGGCAAGAAAACGTTAGATGACGACATTTCATCCTCATCCGTTCGAATCCAATCTATCCCGTTCCGTTCAAATCCATCTTAATGGTTTCGTATAACTTGAACTATCAGTCTTAATGGTTTCGTATAACTTGAACTTAAATCGAAAGTAAAGCTTATGAAATCAAATCAAACCAAACTGAATGTTTTGATGGTAAACACCTTCATTGTAAAATTGCTCATTCTAGTAATGTTTCTTGAACCTAAGTCATGTTACAGATACATCTTCTGAATGCGGAGAACGCCTAAATGAGAAATATGAGCTCAAGTGTGAGCTTCACCAATGCTATTCACATGAATTCGAAGGATGTATGGTGTTTTTCTTTTAACAAGTAGGCATGGGCAAGCCCCCAAGGGGTTGGATGAGTTGGTAGGGCGTTGGCACTAGCTCTCAAGTGAGTGTTCGAGCCTTTTCACCTCCTGTTTACCTGGTGTATCCTATGGGTGCGAATGGTGCACCCCCAGGTTTCAAAAAAAAAAAAAAATCAAAAAAGAGTAGGCATGGGCAAATCCTCACCCAACACTTTCCTCATCCTAACAATTAAAATTTGGATTTACCAACAAATGGTCAATCATAAAACAAGAAATGCTTGTCCTGACGTAGGATGGGGCCTGAATGACCAGTCATTAGACTCCCACCAAAAATTACTATAATATAAGCAGCTGCAATCTTGTTAAGTACTTACACCACCACCACCACCACCACCACAACAACTATCTTTACTCTTCTTCTTCATTTTCTTCCCCTAAAGTTTGTATCATGAACTTGTATCATCTCATTTGCTCTTTCATTTTGATCGTGTTGCTATTAAAACACCCAATTCCAGTTGAATCAACTGAAAAAAGTAAACTCAATAATGGACCTGTAATCAACGTGACCAAGCTCATCTCCTTCCCTAATTTCAGCTCCAACAACCCTAGAATCAACCATGATCTCAAGCTTCTAGGCAGTGCCATCTTCTCTAACCAAAAGGGCTGTATTCAAATACCTGACTTCATCTCCTAAAGAGTTCTTGATCTCAGACACCTCGTCGGCCGAGCCCTTTACTCCTCCCTAATCCGCCTCTTCATTCCCATTTCTGAAACTCCAGCTTCTTTCCACACAACATTTTCTTTCCAATTCAATTCAATCCTCAATTCTACCAATTCCGAACTCAATACAATTGGTGGCGCCACCAGCGGCGGTGTTGGTAGTGGTGGCAGTGGGATCACTTTCATTATAGTCCCGGACGAGTTCACTGTTGGAAGACCAGGTCCGTAGCTGGGCATGCTGAACGACGTCTGCGACGATGAATACAAAGTTGTTGCCGAAGAGTTCGACACTCACCGGAATTCGAAGACCCTAATGACAACCATGTGGGCATCAATTTGGGTAACATTGTCTCCACCACAACCATCATTGTCTCCGATGTCGGGGTTCAGCTCAACGTCGGCTCCATCCACCGCGCGTAGATTGAGTATGATGGACGGAGACAGTATATGGAGGTCCGTCCTGGACACGACGGGGAAGACTATCCCTCCAAACCAGTCTTCTCTGGTTCTTTAGACCTCTCGTCCTTTCTGAAGGAATACATGTTCGTCGGATTCTCTGCTTCCACCGAAAATTTCAGGCAGATTCATAATGTGTTGTCGTGGAATTTTACGTCGACGAGTCAGGCTTTTCTCCAAGTACCTTCGCCGGAGACTTGTGAGAGTAAGATCATCGTTCAGGGTCTCGAAAATGACAAAAACACTCACAACAAATCGCTGAGTACTAGCTTTATGATCTTCTTAGCTGCTGTTGTTCTTCTCATTTTTGTACTCCTCAATCTATACTACAGCAGAAAGCCAAAAAATTCAAAATCAAACGATGTTCCAGTAATATTGCCAGAGAAGAAGCTCCGGCCAAGCCAACCGAACAAGCCCCGCCGCTTCACCATTGCCGAGATCTCCACCGCCACATGGTGTTTTAGTGAGTTGCAGAAATTAGGTTGTGACAGTAGAAGTGTGTAGGGGTTCTTTTTAATCAAACAATAAAATGAGTATACAATGGTGATATCAAAGATACAAATATGAAGGAAATAGAGGAGATGCTTAGTGGAGGAGGAGGAGAAGAAGACCAACTATCAAGATTGAGAAGGTGGTAGGGCAAGTATGCAATATTTTTATGACAACTTCCTCTTCTTGGTTGATTATTTCTTCATTGAATAGTGCTATTTATAGGCTCGAATCACATTGGATATTATCCAATGGTCCCCCTTTATGCATGGTTTCTCGCATGCATTGCTCCTAGTCAGGATTACGCGGGTAATCTTGAGGATTTAGGAGCTTGAAAGGTATAATCCCCTCATCGAGCCTTTCACTTTGTTGCCATGTCATTTCTCCCTTAATCAAAGGCATTAAATGTTACTTGGCCGCTGGTTGGTCAAGCCTGACACAGCATTAAATGTGATCTTAAGGTTTGTTGTCATAATGTGCATAATCCCATCATCTTGTTAATTGGGCCTTGCTGAAAGCGAAGGCACTTCTTGACTTTTCATCCACAATCCAAGGTCCTCCTAAGTTTTCCAAACACAGTTCCCTATAGCCGCGAAAACCCTACCTTTATTTCGCGCTATATGCAATTCCTTAATGGCGAGCCCCCTAGGGACTGAGTCTTTCAAAGTAATATTGCCTGGCAAAATATCAGGGCTTAAGGTGTTTGAAAGTTGATCCCTCGAAGATCGATAGGCCTGGAGCGACGCCACGACTTGGGGTGCTCAAGGATTAGTTCCCGAGGCTTGGTGGGCCTAGAGCGATGCCAGGGCTTAGGGTGCTCGTGGATTGGTTCCTCGAGGCTTGATGGGCCTAGAGCACTACCAGGGCTTAAGGTGCTCAAAGTTTGATCTTTCGAGGCTTGGTGGGCCTGGAGCGATGCCAAGGCTTACAGTGCTCAAAGTTTAATCTTTCGAGGCTTGATGGGCCTAGGGCAATGCTAGGTATTAAGGTGCTCAAAGTTTGATCTTTCGAGGCTTGGTGGGCCTAGAGCGATGCCAGGGCTTAGAGTGTTCGAAGCTTGATCTTTTGAGGCTTGATAGGCCTAGGGCGATGCCAGGGCTTAAGGTACTCGAAGTTTGATCTTTCGAGGCTTGATGGACTTGAAGCGCTGCCAGGGCCTAAGGTGCTCGAAGTTTGATCTTTCGAGGCTTGGTAGGCCTAGGGCGATGCTAGGGCTTAAGGTGCTCGAAGTTTGATCTTTCGAGGCTTGATAGGCTTGAAGCGCTGCCAGGGCCTAAGGTGCTCGAAGTTTGATCTTTCGAGACTTGATGGGCCTGGGGCGATGCCAGGACTTAGAGTGCTCGCAGGTTGATCCTTCGAGACTTTTGACTTTTCAAATTGCCACGGAGGATTTAGTTAGGGTCACTTTGACTTGTCAATATGCCATGTCAGCCTCCCATAAATGACACCCACATTTTGTCCCCCTGCACGTGCGACGATTCATAATAAATTGTTGCGAGTGCAAGGCTAGGCGGCTAGGTCATTTATTTATTCGAGGGGATTGAAGAGACGCGAGCTTGAAAGGTCATTTTTAGTCATTAATGCGCCGTCGATTACCGCTTTGATTTTGGGGGTTCCTGAGGTGAGAGAGTTGTTTAAACAGGGACAACGATAGGGTGAAAAAATTTTCTATCAAAAGAGAGAAAGAAAAATTACTATCCTTACCTTTGTTTCCATTATTGCCGACGAAGAACTTATTGAAATTTGAAGCTTTTTGTTCGTATTTTTTCTCGGTTTGAGGGACTGCCACCATGGTTAGCAAGAAACAAGAGTTGTGTAAGAAGGATTGCGCCCCTCCCCCCCCCCCCCCCCTAAAAGTGCCAATGGATTCAGAATGGCAACGAGCACCATTTTTTGGAAAAAATGATCTGTTTTGGCATCGGGCCAGCGAGGTAGTGGTTGCCGGTGAACCACTTGAAGTGGTTGAGTTGATGGAAGAGGAGGTTGAAATTAACCTAGCTCATCGCATTCCTGCTGACACCATCTTGTGATTTGGGGTCGAGCAAGGGCAATACCCATGGTCTTATGTGAATTTCAACAATAACATTAGTCCTGCCCATAGTTGGGAAAAATGGACTGATGCCATCCTTGCCAATCCTGCATACGAGGCAATTCTTGACGTAACAAGCTTGACACCCTGCATTAAGCTCTTTCGCCAATTACACATTCCTCGCAACACTACTGGTTTATGGGAGTTGACCTCACAGTGGAGCTCGAGTTTGCACACCTTTGTTACTACGTGGGGGGAGTTTACACCCACTATTAAGGATGTGTGCCAACTATTGGGTCTACCTTTTCACGGGGTGGAGAATCCTTGCTCTTGGGAATTCTCGCCAGTTGAAGAGACTCTAATGCAAAACTTTAAGGCGGCCTTGGAGAAAACTAAGGACTTCAGATCATTGTGGGGCGCACAGTGTGTTCGCCATGCTGAGCGAGGAACGGGTATGCGCAAAGCCACTCTAGGGGCTTTAGTGGGGTACTACTTTAGAGATTTTCCCATGGCGAGGAAAAATCTCTCAG